ATACGAAGCAACTATAAGAATCAAACAAATATAAAAGAAAAAGTTAATTCAAATCAAAATCGACTGATTTAGATATATTTCTAGTACTTATTCTCTTAGATCTTTGAAGAAAAGAGTTATATTTTCATTATTTTCAACATAACTAACATTAATCACATCAAAATATAGCTTTATAAAAGAATAATGATGAAATTTTCTTTTACATCCGTTTCTCATTGTTTCTAATTGTGACAGATCTTTTTCTCATTTTGAAAGAATCTTAGTTTACAGTCTTATTTTAAATCTTCTTCTTTAGTGAGGATTAATCAATAGGTCTTCATAAAAGAGTTTTGTTCCAGATTGAAAGCTGATTAGAATTTTATGTTTCTCAATTTCTCATTTTGTAAGCTAATTAATTAAGAAAAAGTAGAATCTTTCGTTCTATAAATTATCAACAGAGAAAATAGGTATAATTAATAGAAAAGAAAAGCGCTGTCATAAATATAGTCCCCGTTCGATGTATTGAAAATAATAAAATGCAACCATTTCCCTCAAGATGTAAGAGATGGAGCGCTACAAATATTTCTAAATCAGCCGATTTTGATTTGAATTAAATTTCTATTTTATATTTGTTTGATTCTTATAGTTGCTTTGTATTTTATTTGAATTAAATAAAGAATAAATAGACTAAAATTATTAACGAATTAATAAGCTTTACTTATATTAATAACGAAGTACAAATATGACTGTAATATAACTCCATATTTAGTAACTATTTGATAATACCTACCTGAGTGCACATAGCCACACCTTAGTGTATGGGCTATGTGCACTTAAGTGTTCGTAGTCACTTCCTTATTTTAAATCTTTGAAATATATTATTATGCACAAATTTTTTCTATAGAAAACCATTTTCATCAAAATCAACATTAAATGTTGACGATCAATTAAGTACCAATGAATCATCAGCTGAGGATGATGTTTCTGTTGATGATTATTTGTCGTCTGGTGAAGGAACACGTGGTAGTAGCCGTGGTGATTACGATGATAAATCATTCAGCAGTCAACAAAGTTCAAGTAATGAAGATAATGCTTCAACATTGTCCGATGATGAAGAAATCGTTACTAATACTTCAACTAATACTTCCATTGATCCAACTTTATTATCTATTCGTTCTTTGATTAAACGAGTTCGTGAACTTGTTGGTCTGGTGAATAAATCTGGTTCACTAAGCGAATACATTCGTCAACAAGCAAAAGAAAAAAAATTATCTGGAGAAGTATGATATTAGTAACATTAGGACATTATTGACTAAATTGGCTTGTGAATTGTATTTTTTAATCAATGAGATGAGTTTTGGAAGAAAATCTCCGTAAATATTTTCTCTTACTCCTATCTCTACTGGTAGAAGTACATACAGTACAATAGATTTACTGAAGAGAGAAGACTAGTTGAATTTTTCTATTTAAATGTATCTTCGTTCCAAAATTCTACAGTATATATATTATCATAAAATTTTTTAGAGCTACCGGAACTTTCTGAGTCTTTAATGTATTCAACAAGAGTGGGGTTTTTCTACTAATTAGGATTATTAGAAATATAACTTAATAGTTATGGTTAGCGACAAAACCAAGATATTGGGCTAGGAAGTTCACCCTTCCCTGCTAAATCGAATAAATCTCTCAAAAATCTCAACAGAGGAGAAGAATCAAAGACCTGTAGTGAGAGCTGACCGTCCTGGTCATTCTCAGGTTTTACCACTCGTTAGGATGCCCTTAATCATTTAAGTAAATTAAATACTTTCATGATTGTTCTCAAGTGCTAAACTGTAACTAGTGAAACGAGAATATGGATATTTATCTGTTTACTATAATTATTCTAGTAATTCAACACGCAAAGTAAATGAATTGATGTTTACGTCGGATATGCTTCATATTGTGAAGCTTACATATATTTTCGAAGAAAATAGTGGGTGTAAGTTTTAAGACGAAGTTTTCCTGCTCCCCCTCTTCATTTCAGACACTTACCCCTCCATTACAGATCATCATAACCCTTACTTCACATTATAGGCCTTAGTAGTTCCTTTCTCACATTACAGACCTGAGCAATCAAGATTACAAATCGGATATTCACAACAGTCTTATTTGCCATGTAATTCAATGTTAATAATAATAATAACAATAATAATAATGATGATGATGTTAAATTACAAAAAAAAGAAAAATACAAATACGAAAATAACACACAATGAGCGAATAACAGCGATGAAAATGAAAAATAGGGCGCTCATAAAAAAGAACTGCATTTTTGTTTAAAATTGTAGAAATAAAAAACGACAGCGTTTGATAACAATCGATCATCATTAGAAAAAAACTGTCGTCTTTTTACGATATTACATTCTGTGCATCTTGTATTAGTATAAAGACGATAAAGAGGATAAGTGAGTTTCACATTTCAACCTCAAAAAGGCTACGTTAACATGTCTTTTCTCACTGAAAAAATGAATATTATTAAGCTTTACATAATCATATGTAGTTGACGTCTTTGTTATACATATTAATCAAATGCTCTAGTTAAAAGATACGTATTCTGTTTTCGTGAGGCTAATTCTTATGATTTCAATCTTACGTGACTGTTGTCTACATAATATACTCGTTACGATAAAGTGATTCTATTCGAAAAATTTTATTTTTGTAATTTATGACATGACGAAGCAGGTGACAAAAAAAAGATCATACCAATCATATTTGTATTTTTTCTTCTCAATGATTGCTCTAATATTGCGTTTCCGCACAAGAGATATTAGTTTTTAATATTTTCTAAAACTTAAAGGCATATTTTTTGAATATTTTAGGGGTTAATCATGGATTGCGAAGTGAGATGGAATTCCTGTTTTTTCATGCTTAAACGTTTTACTGACTATCAGTCAATCATCGAAAACATTACTATTCTTCACCGATCTGTTATTGCTGGTCTATCTTCATCAATTGTTTTTCATTTAAAAAGCCTTATGTTTACTTCTGAAGAATGGGATTATTTGATAGCGACTTGTAACGTCCTCAATATATTTAATCAAGCATGTCAACTTTTATCAAGAAGACGTTATCAGACATTGTCAATCGGCTATATGGTATCATGTGGATTACGTAATTCGCTCCTAGAACCATCATCAGGTCCTCAAGGATACATTGAAAATATGATAAAAAAAACACCTTTTCGGTGCTTTCATGGAACATTTTGACAAAAAACTATCAATCGATCAGAAGAATTCAATGCTCGTAAGTTTTGTTTCCTTTCTTGCATCTTTTTATCTTTCGTGCAATCGAAGCTGTTATTATTATTATGTAGAATTGAGTATTTTTTTGGAAAACATTCCTATAAAAATTATTTTTGTATTACTGCAATGTTGATTAATTCTTATTGATCAAACATTGTTTTACCAAATTATAGACGTTATCAATTATTTTTTGGAAAATGTTTCACTAATTGAAATTGATATAGAACTGTTGCAATTGAAAATAAGTAAACTAAAGAAAATTTATTAAATCGAACGTTCTGATATGTTACAAGAATTATATTGTTTATGTACACATGATATATGAATGTGACATATGTTGAGATCCTCATTCTTGCATCGGTTAAGCCAGTAGATGGATTTCTCAAAGCAAGACTGTATGTAAAGCAGCAGAGAAATTCATATTTAAAGTACAACTTTTTTTCGAGAATGTTTTTACATGATAAGATGGAGCACATCAAGTTAAATAAGGAAAAGTAAGTTTTTTTCTTTGAGAAAAAAAATCTAAAGGATGAAAATTTAAAAACGACTGAAAATCGCTGCATTAGTGACTTTTCATGGTTTTGATGATATTTTATTCTAATTCTAAACGAAAGCTAAATTTAAAAACAAAGTTTATGTGGTATTCACTTATTATATGAGAATGAAAAAATTTTAAACTTTCTCGTTAATGAAAATTCTCGCTAGGAGCCATGTCTCAACGAAAATAATTTTCTAGTGACCTCTAGAAAAAGAATTTGAGGCATCAGTAGTTTGTCCCCTAGTTTTAGTAAATTTTATTTTTTATGCAAGGTCCATAAAACTACGTTTGAACCTCAAATTCTCTTCTTATTGAAAGATGAAGTGTTCATCTGTGCATCAAATCAAGGAAATAGCTAGATTTCAACAACAAAAAACGTTTTCGTGAAAAATCACATGCAGCTTTGTTCCTACTAGTATGGCGAATATAAAGATCTAAAACTGTTGAATTTATCGCTTACGTGTAAAGAGTTGATAGGTCTGCCAGATAAAAAGCAAGACTTTTATTATCCACCAAAAGTTTCAAACTTTTTCATTCTCACATAATATTTGCACAACACAAACATTTTGTTTTCAGATTCAGCTTTTATGTAGAATTAAAATAAAATATCATTAAAGTTATCAAAGATCACTGATGCAGTGATTTTCAGTCGTTTTCAAATTTTAGGTGACTTTTGAGGAATTTGAAAGATGATATTTCTTTTTAATTTTTGTCCTCAGTTTTTTCAAAGCATAAAACTCACTCGCTCTTATTCAACTTGGCGACTCCTCCCTAGGGAAAATCTTTGATGTTTCGGCCCCGGATCCTTGGAAGATAGGATCAAGATCCTGCAAGGATTCGATGTTTTTTCCTGAGGAAACGACTAAATCCTGAAAGAAGCGTGTAGCCA